CCAGGGTGGGGCCAGCCAGACTACCCCCCCCCCCCCCCCCCCCCCCCCCCCGCCCAGAATAGAGATCCTTTACCCTCCCCAGGTTCAGTTCACATCTAGATCCTAGCCACCAGACAGTGGACTGTTGTCCAGTTTAGTCTAGCACTAAGTATCAGTCTCCAAGGATACACCCCTGCCGCAGTTTCCCCCACTACCTTGTTGTGCCTCCTTGCCAGGCAAATGCAGGCAGCTCCTGTGTTCTCTGGTTAGGTCTTACACGGCTACCCGTATCTAAGCACTAGGGCCCTCCTTCCTCCCAGCCCACCCTTTCCCAGCTTCCAGTTCTCCCAAACAATGGCTTCATTTCACAGATCTTGGCTATGACAGATGCCCTATCAATAGCTGCCATCTAGGGGCAAACCATCAACTCATTTCCCAGCCCTAGCCCCTGCTTATCTAACAACTAGGCCCCTCTTTGGTGTTGGTATAAGATGAAGACACCAGGTGACTTCATGTTGTAGAGTGCTTCAGAGGATGACACAGGGTTCTGCAATTGGTGCTTACTGTAGTACCTGGCAGATAGTAGATACCTAATAAACAGCAGCTGTAATTACTCTGTACTGAATCCAATCTATCATATACAAGTATACAACAGGCTTTTCAGATGATGGGAGTGTATAATTCACTGAAAACTCCAGCCGTTTACCCCCAATGTTACTAAAATGCTGTCACACTGGAAGTACACTATGTACAGCATTTAAACCCTATTCTTGCCAGGTGTTGACAACTCACACCTTTAATCCCAGCACTCGGGAGGCAGAGGCAGGTAGATCTCTGTGAGTTCGAGGCCAGTGTGGTCTACAGAGCAAGTGCCGGGATAGGCTTCAAAGCTACACAGAGAAACCTTGTCTTGAAAAACCAAACAAACAAAACAAAAAAAACCCAACCAAACAAAAAACCCTATTCACAGCCAGGCTGTGGTGGTGAACACCTTTAATCCCAGCACTCGGAGGCAGAGGAAGGCAGATCTCTGTGAGTTTAAGGCCAACATTGTCTACAGAGTGAGTTTCAGGATAGCCAGTGCTGTTACACAGCGAAACCCTGTTTCCAAAACCAAACCAAAACAAACCCAAACCCTATTTACATAAGCTACTGACACTTACGTAGATTATGAGCTAATATTTTTCCCTTCTATGCCATTTCTGCCAGTGGACTTTGTCACTTCCGACTTCCCTTATTAATATCTTCCCATCCTAGACAGTTTACAGGTGGCATGTGACATGCTCCATGAAAGGCAACTTGTTTTCACTGGCGTGCCAGGCATAGCCAATGTGATAGTTATTGTGAGGTGCTGATAGCTCAGAAGTTCACAGCACATATTGTCCTTGTAGAAAGACCTATGTTTGGTTCCCAGCAGCTCACAACCATGTATAACTCCAGCTCTACAAGGATCTGATGCTTCTGAGTTCACAGGCACCTGCCCACAAATTCACATATACACACGCGCGCCCCCCCTTGCGCGCACACATACTCTCTCTCTCTCTCTCTCTCTCTCTCTCTCTCTCTCTCTCTCAGCCCATAACTAAAATAATAAACATAAAATATTTTTTAAGAAAGTGTTGCAGGGCCTAGAGAGTTGGCTCAGTGGTTACATGTACTTCTTGCTCTTGCAGAGGACCCAGGTTCCATTCCCAGTGTCTACATGTTGGCTCACAAACTTCTGTAAACCACAGTTCCAGAGGATCTGGTATCCTCTTCTGGACTCATAGGCACCAGGCATATATGTAGTGCACATACATATATTCTGGCAAAATGTCCACACCCATAAACTAATATAAATACATACAAAGTTTTTGTTTTTTGAGACAGGGTTTCTCTGTGTAATAGCCTTGCCTGTCCAGGAACTCAATCTGTAGACCAGGCTGGCCTTGAACTCACAGAGATCAACCTGCCTCTGCCTCCTGAGTGCTGAGATTAAAAGTAGAGGGCATAGTGGCCCACACCTTTAATCCCAACAGTCAGGAGGCAGAGGCAGGTGGGTCTCTGAGTTAAAGGCCAATTTGGTCTACAAAGCAAGTTCTAGAACAGCCAGGAATACACAAAGAAACCCTGTATTGAAAACAATAACAGTAACATCAACCAAAAAGTATTCATCATTATGCCTGACATTTCATTTTAAATGTGTGAATGACTTATTTATTTTATATGTGTGATTGTTTTGGCTCCATGGATGTATACGTACGTACCATGTGCATTCCTGATGTTCACAGAAGAGGGTGTCAGATCACCTGGAGTTACGAATGGGTTGTGAACCACCATGTAGGTTCTGGGAATTTAATTCTAGTCCTACATAAGAGCAACAAGAGTTCTTAACTGCTGAGCCATCTCTTGAGCCACTGATTTTTTTTTATTATTATGTGTATGTGTCTATATGTGGGTATGTTCACACGAGTGCAGGTGTCCTCAGAGGCCAGAAACAGGAGTCAAAATTGGACATAGTGGTGCACACCTTTAATCCCAGCACTCGAGAGGCAGAGGGAAGTGGATCTTTATGAATTCAATGTCAGTTTGGTTTACATAGTGAGTTCTAGGCTAGCTAAGGCTGTGTACGATACATACTGTGCCCCTACCCTCTCTGTCCCAGGCTCAGAGTCAAGTATCCACAAATTGTTCCTGCAGGGCTCCCTTTCTACCTCTAGATGTAAGTATTTAGCATCTCCTGTTCCAGAAATATCCTTGCTTGCTTCCATCCCTTCCCACCCAGACATCTCTTCCCCTATCATGGCCTGCGCTAGCCTGTCTTAACCTGTTCTCCAGGAGTTTCCAACACTATTGTTCAGATGTCCATGGTGAACCTTTTTCTCTTTCACAGAATGTTATTAGAAAGGATAGGAGCTGGGCAGTGGTGGTGGTACACGACTTTAATCCCAGCACTTGGGAGGCAGAGGCAGGCGATCTCTGTGAGTTCAAGGCCAACCTGGTCTACAGAGTGAGTTCCAGGACAGGTTCCAAAGCTACAGAGAAACCCTGTCTTGAAAAACAAAACAAAACAAAACAAAACAAAAAAAAGGATAGAACCTTATTTATTCCATTCCCAGGTTGAGATGGAGGCAGGTGGGTCTCAAGGTGCCTGCGGGCAAGTCAGAACACATCAAAGTTTGAAGTTTGTGTTACTTGGAGGAAGGTAAGAAGGAGGTGCTGTCATACAGGGCATGTTCCTGCTTGTCCTTCCCAACATGTTCTGGCCTTTGTTCCTGGGAGTGTGGCCAAGAGCTTCAGTAGCCTGCTGGGGGCAAGGGTGCTCAGGCAGGGGCTGCTCCCTGGCAGGCAGAGACTCCCTTCAAATTACTAGATAAACAGTGTCAGGTGGCCTCATCATGACCCAGAAGGAAGCATCAGCGATTTGCCCACTCTCTACTTTCAATCTAACCTCCCAGGAGTAGCACCCACCTCTCAAGCTACAAGAAAAATTATTCTGAGACGGGTTACCAGATTGAAGGTAGCCTAGAATTAGAATCTGAGTCTCCCTGGAAGTTGGTGATATAGTGACCTGGGACAGGTAGGGTGAACCAGTCAGAGGCTTCAGGGTAGATGCTCTCTCTCCAGATGGATTCCAGCAGGTCTGAGGAAGAACTGCAGTGGATGGAGCTGGTCTGGGAGGAGGCTCCAGCAGACAAGACAGAGGAACCTCTTAGCTCCCAGGTCTGGAGTACCCTGTTCCAGGCAGTGTGGTGGGGTGCTCCCAGCTTGGTGATGCAGCTGCTGAGGCAAGGTGCCAGTGTGGAGGAGAGGTAAGCCTCATGACTAGCTCCAGACTCTTTCTCTGGTTGGGAGTAAACGTCTAAGCTGCTTCCTGACTTCTTTCGTACCCCACAGGGATCACACAGGTCGGACTCCACTCCATCTGGCTGTGATGCGAGGCCACGTGCCTCTTGTACGCCTACTGTTACAGCGAGGGTCCCTGGTGGGTGCAGTTGACAACAAAGGGCACACACCACTGCACGTGACTGCCTGGCATGGGCACTCAAAAGTGGCAGAACTATTGCTGCGGCGTGGGGCCTCGGCAGTGGCATGCTCTCAAATGGGCCTCACGCCCCTGCACTGGGCAGCTGCGCTGGGCCGTACACTACTGGCTACATGCCTTATGGCCGCACCAGGTTTGGGCCCTGCTGTGAAAGATAGAAGAGGCTGGACTGCCACACACTGGGCAGCTGCGTGCAGGCAACTGCCAGTACTAGAGCTGCTGACTGTTAGAGGCAGCTTAGACCTGGACAGCACCCTGCTGGTGTCAGCGGTAGCTGGAAGTGCATCAGCCTTGCGGCTTCTCCTGGCACTGGGGGCAAAGGTGGATGCCCTGGACAACACAGGAGCTACAGCGCTTGGCCTGGCAGCTGGCTTAGGCCACTACCAAGTAGGTCCAGCCTTCACCTTCAATGACTGTACCAGAAGCCCAAGGGCTTTGTCTTCTACGCTTGCTTCCATAGGCTCTGGGGAGGAGAGGAACAAGGTAGAAAGATGCTGAAGCATAGGCGGGCAGGGTGGAGGGGTTGGGAGCTGAGCATGTTCTCAGTTGGGTCCTCTTTATAAAACTTCCCTACTGAATGGTACCGGAGGAGGTCTCCCATACCTGGGAATCCCACTTTATTCTGGTGGCCCATAGCAATGAATTGGGTGAATGTTTAGCTTTTCTGAGACAACAGTTCACTATGTCGCCCTGGCTGGCCTGAAGCTCTCTATTTAGACCAGCTTGGTCTTGAACTCACATAGATCCTCCAGCCTCAGCCTCCTGGGTGCTCGGATTAAAGGTGTGGGCCACCACCATGCCTGGCAACAAGTATTTATTTAAGTATTTGGTTGGAGCTCAAGATCAGTGAGGCCCACGGGGCACCAGAGGGCAACAGCTTTTGCACAGTGTTGAATTTAATCTGAGAATTTGGTACTTCCTTAGATTCCACCCCATTCATTCCTAAAAGAAAAAAAAAAAAAAAAAAAAAAGAGGCTATAGGGATTTTGGTCAGGCAAACACCAGGCCCAGCTCCTCATCCCTTGGACCAAGTTAACAGGCTCTTTCTCTCTTCTTCCTTTCCTTTTCCAGGATGTTGAGGTGCTGCTGGACCATGGGGCAAACCCAAATATTAGGGACAGGAACAACCGATCTGCACTGCACAGGGCTGCCACTGGTGGACACCTACCTGTTACACAGCTGCTGGTGGCCAACGGCATTGAGGTAGATTCTCGAGACTCCCTGGGCCTCACACCCTTGCACTATGCTGCTCGGGGAGGCCATGTAGAAATTGTCAGTCATCTCCTGGACAGGGGTGCACAGGTCAATGCTGCTGGCTGGCTCCACAAGACACCTCTGCACCTTGCTGTGGAGTGTGGCCACAGCAGCACCATAGAGCTTTTGCTGAGCCGAGGAGCCAACTCTACCTTGAGGACACAGTGGGGTGAAGTGGCCCAGACACTATAGGGTGTCTGTACCAGGTACTGCCTCATCTCCTTAACTGCAGAAAGACAAGAAAAGTAGAGCTGTACTTACAACAAACTTAAGAGTTTGGGGTTATGGAGGGTATCTTTTTGTTAAGATTTGTTCACAGGGCTGGACAGTAGTAGTGCACACCTTTAGTCCCAGCACTCAGGAGGCAGAGACAGGTGGATCTCTGTGAGTTCAAGGCCAGGCTATTCTACAGATAGATTTCCAGGACAGCCAGGGCTGATGCACAGAGATACCCTGTCTCAAAAAAAAAAAAAAACAAAAACAAAAAAAAAAACAAAAAAAACCAACAAAACAACAAAAAGATTTGCTCACCAAGACTGCTACCCATTAGGTTATATTCACATATCAAAAGGATCACAATTCTTCCAGGCAGGTAAGATATCCATAGTTAACAGCTACATAAAAAAGAACAGCACTGGCTTATTTCAAAATAACTGAGACACCATTTTGCTATGTAAATTCCCATTTGTTCAAAATGGCTACGCTTGAAGTTTCTGGTTCTGTAAAACCAGAAACATTTGCATAAATGTTCAAAGTGTATCTTAGTGCTGGAACTTACATGAGATTTACAGATGACGGAGCATGTGAAATGTTATAGCTCAAAATCTACATAAGCTGCAAAGAATTTCTGTTCAAGGGTGCTATCTTTTTGGTTGTTAGCCATTATTAAAGGGTTTTTTTTTTTCTTATTATTCTCTCAATGTCTGGAGTAAATTCATGGCTGTTAGTGGTGATGTGCAGTTAACCTGCTGTTTCACTAGGAGCCACAGCCTCACTAGTCCTGTGATTCCTTCTGTGAGGCTGAGCCTTTTTGGCCAAAACAGGACAAGAAGATGCCTAAATCCTCCTAGGCAGAGACCACCTGTCTGGTCAGAGAGAAATCACCTAAGAATTTTTGGAGAAAGAAGCTTCAGAGGTGATGGCTTGATCTCTGTCCTCAGGAGTATAACTTCACAGCCTGGTCCACATGCTGGTGAGGGACAAGTCTAGGCAACAGATTTGTTTAAAATCTCATGATTTGCTGGGCATTGGTGGCACAAGCCTTTAATCCCAGCATTCTGGAGGCAGAGGCAGGCGGATATCTGTGAGTCCTGGGCCAGCCTGGTTTACAGAGTGAGTTCCAGGACAACCTCCAAAGCTACAGAGAGAAACAAAATAAAAAACAAAACAAAACAAAAACAAAAAAACCCAAAACCAAACAACAACTGAAGGGACCAGCTCCCCATTTCGGCAGCCATAGCAGCCGAACACATGCTTGTGTGACCTTGCCTTAGTCACTAGGAGGTCAGATGTCTGCCTCATGGCAAGGAACCAATCAGAAGTTAGCTGGTGGTGCTATGCTTTATGGCTCTGGGTGTGCTTTACAGACAAGTGCACAGCAATGACATGCAGAGGATAGCAACCACCCTGGGAGGGCCTATGGGCAATAATAACCAGTTCACCAATCAACACAGGGCAAGCCCTCCAGGCCTGGAGGCACACCAATCCTGAGCCTGTGCATATCCCTAGACACTCCCCTTACACTGCCCTGTAAGATTTCTATGCAGACACTTCAAGCTGTCTTTCCTAGCTATCCGAGATGGTGGGTGGATGAAAGACCTGAGCTAACATGGGGTTAGCTCGTTAAATTACAATAAAGCCTCATACTGTTTGCATCAAGCTTTCGAATCTGCCTGGTGATTGGGGTGACCAAGTTCCTGGGCTGAGATCCTGGAGGCCTGAGCTTCCGGGGGGGGGGGGGGGGTCTTACAAACAACAAAACTGCAATAAAACCTCATGCTTTCTCTTTTGTCTGTTCACTATGGGGCTCCAATTATCCTCATTGTGTGTGGGGAGTGTTCTATTTGTATTTGTCTTTCCCATTAGTTTCTTTTCTCATCTCTGTGATAAAAGAAGAGACATTTGGTTCATATTTTCAGCAGAACACACAGTCCCATTTGTGGATGTGGCTTAGTTGGTAAAATGCTGGCATAGCATGTGTATATCAATGAGAATTCCTGGGGAGAAGCTGTATGTGCCTGCAGAGATTAATTGACTGATTAGAACTGTGGATGCCACGAGGTTGGAATGTTGCAGGTCCAGATTGCTTTATCTCAAGCTAGTTTTAGCTCCTGAATAGTCATTCCTTGCCCACTTCCATGTCAGAACTAACGGCCTGTGACTAATAGAAACATTTTGTAATCTATTAACTTTGTAGACCACTAGCTTCCACCAACTTGAAAGCTAAGAATGTTATCAGATAGCATCTGAGGCCTATAGAAGAGCTTTCCCCATGTTGCTGTAAATACCTCTCTGATATTTCCACCAATGATTTTTGAAAAAGTGTCTTGATTTGTGCCTTTCTTTGTTGTGTTATGAGAAAAACTTCAAGAAGCTGGGCATGGTGACACACTTTGTTGTTGTTGTTTATGTTTTTTGAGACAGGGTTTCTCTGTGAGTTCGAGGCCAGCCTGGTCTACAGAATGAGTTCCAGGACAGGCTCCAAAGTTGCAGAGAATCCCTGTCTTGAAAAAAAACAAACTTTTTTTTGTATATTTGAGTGTGTGTGTGTGTGTGTGTGTGTGTGTGTGTGTGTGTGTGTGCCTGAGTGTTATGTGTACCATTTGTGTAGGAATCTGCGTAGGTCAGAAGAGAGCATTTGATCCCTTGGAACTGGAGTTACAGGTGGATATAAGCTGACACATGGGTGCCGGGAACTGAATGAAGCCAGGTCTTCTAAAGAGCAGTAAATACTTTTAACCACTGAGCCATCTCTCCAACACCAGACATTTATTATCTTATTTTATTTTTTATTGAAAGCAAGGTTATTTTCATTCTGACCACAATTTCCTCTTCCTCATCTCCCAGTTTCTTCCTACATTCCCATACTTCCAACTACACACCTTTCCCCTCCCCCTCTTCCTCTCTCTCTCCCCTCCTCTCTCTTCTAGGCAGGGTTTCTCTGTAGAGTTGGCTGTCCTTGAACTCACTCTGTAGACCAGGGTGACCTCAAACTCAGTCCTCTCTCTCTCTTAAGAAAATGAACCGCCAGGCAGGGCAGGGCGGTGGTGGCTCAAACATTTAATCTTAGCACCCAGGAGGCAGAGACAGGAGGATATCTGTGAGTTCGAGACCAGCCTGGTCTACAAAAGCGAGTTCCAGGACAGAAAAACCAAAAAAAAAAAAAAAAAAAAAAAAAAAAAAAAAAAAAAATAAAAAAAAAAAAAAAAG